ATTTGTTTTCTTCGCGTCTTGCTTCTCTTGTACCCTCATTGCACGCAAACGTACAGAAGGGGGTGGGTGGGAGGAGGAGGAGGTCAAAGAGAGAGAGAGAGAGAGAGACACCGTGAACTCACAGTATGCAGAGCGCCTTCACAATCCGCGTCGGAGAGAAGCAGGCTGATGGTGTGCGGGAGGTTTCGGTGCTGCACAACGGTGAGGTTCACTTCTCCACCTCGCATCGCAACGTGAAGTGGGCCTTTTTGACGCGATTTCCAGCCCCCTCCAATGAGAAGCGAAGTCTGCCTCCTGTAGGTTGCTTACCGGTGAGTCCGTTCGCCAACAGTGGGTTAGACTTGAATGCGGGCTTTGCTGGGGGCGAGCACACTGAAGCGGCCAGCTATGACGGCAATGAAACTATGCAAGAGTTCTTGTGTGTATTACATCGTGATGAACCAAAGGATCGGCACAGCCATTACACTGCGCATCAGGCATCGACTATATGCTCCGCGTACAACACTGTGCACCCCGCTGCCATCACACACTTTGTGCTAAAAAACATTGCTCCCACGACGGTGGTGCCAGGTTTGCGTGGCGTATTTGTCCACGGGAGTCAGCAGTCCTCACGGGGATCCTCATCCATGGTGCTGCAAGTGGAAGGGTTTATGTTTCACCAAGCGGCAGACCTATGGTGGATGGCTTCTCAGCTGACAATTAGACCTGTTTATGTGAATTCTGGTGATTTCGAATTAATAAAGCGTCTTGGCCCGAATCCAACCGTGACGAAGATATCACCTTCACCGCAGTTGGATACTAACAGTGTCACGCCAAGGTACGCGTTGGTGGACGCGATTATCCTTGCTCAGTTTCAAACTGACAAGGGGCGGTTAATGACGGTGGCAGTGCGCGGCGATGAGATATGTCTCGCAACGACGGTGGTAGTAGAACATTTAGATGCCTTGCTTTGGATATGGTGGCCACAGCGGTTGCAGGTGTCACGGTTACGTGCCAAGGGAGCAGACATCTCCGTGACAATTTCTGAGAGCCTGGATGCTTCTGTGCAGGTATTATTCCTTTTTGATTCACCCCATACCGTGCTACATGTCTTACGAACACCGAACCTTTTGACTGGGATGGGGGAGTTGGAAATGCTTTTCTCCGTGGAGACAAACTGCCCTCCAGTCGTGCTTCCTTGCTTGCGTTCCTCAATGATGCAACCTGTTATGGTGTGTCATTACCCGGCGGTCAACGATGTGACGCTGTACCATGTTCCTACCCTCTTGGAGCAACCTTCTCCCTCCACCAGCATAGCCACCATGTCTCTCGCGCCCACACTGCCAACGAAGGCCATTGTGAATGGTGTGTTGTACCAGATGGGCCCCACAGTCGCTTTTCAGGCCACCTCCCTCGCCTCTAAGAAAGAAACTGGAAAAGGTGAAAACATTACACATGACGCGGAACGTAAATCGTACGTTGTTAGGTTTCCCTCTATTTTGGAGGAACAACATCCACTGGTGCATTTTATACTAGAATCACTTGAATTGGTCCTAGAAACAAGTTGTGTCGCATCGCTGCAGTGTGATTTGTTGCGACGCGCATGGGAAAGTAAACACGTGGGAGATGTGTGGGACTTTGGAACGGGATGTATTGAATTGATTATAGAGGTTGTCCGCACAAGCATAACAGGGAGAGGTGGAAGAAGCAACATAAATGAGGATGGACGCAATAACAATGCGGTTGAGGGAGGCGGTAGTGGAGGTGGGTATCAAGGCAAGGAGGCGAGATATTCTCGCAAAAATGCTCCAGGGGATGAAGAAGAAACAACTCTGTGTGATATTCTCCTTGATCCGATTGGTTTAACCGCCGACGTGTTGCAACATCGTACGTTATGCAGCCCATGTATCCCGAAAGAGAAAGCCCGTGAAGCCCTCTTCTCTAGTGCGAGTGTAAGTCAGCTTTGGACACAGCATCAATGTGGACTAAGTGTGTTTGTTTTGCATCTTTTGTGTGAGAGCTTCAAGTTGCAGGAACAACTTTGGGTTTTGCTTGAGCCACTTGCGAAGATGAACCTTCAGCTGAGCCAGTTAATGCGGTGGACACAATATGTCTGGTACTACTCCACCTCTCTCTGCGTGCCTGCGACAACGGAACTTGCACCTCAGGGTCCTGTGGTCTCGCAGTCATCGCCATCTCACGAGTTTCAACGTGCGTTGCCTGAACATATTCTACTCGAAAGGTTTGTCTTTCACGCTGGTTCATCCATGGAGGCCGTTCTCGGCGGGGCCCCGCCAATGCTGTGCACCATCCTGCAGCGCGTCCTTGTAGGAAAAGCGCGGGTGTCTGGTGGTTGGCCAGCCATTAAAGGTGCCCTCCCTGGTTCTCCTCTTTCTCTGGCAAACCGTCTGTTTTGTATGTTCGTGGACTGCTTTGATTCACCCGACGGGCAGCATAACCGTGCATGCTGCTGGTGGTTTGTTTTATGCAGAGGTCTTTTAAAGTATGATATTAACCCGAATTTTGTCGCTTCGGAGCTTTGCGTCGGGGCGGCGCAGCCGATTCTTCGCGCGTTAGCCATTGCCAAGGATAAAGGAGGGGATGTTTGGGATAATGACTTCAATGCCATTATTGGTCGTCTGGATCGCTTGCAGCAGGCCCCGGCGCGGGCATGCCATGCAAATTCGTCCGGTGATGTCGTGCGTGCCGCGCAGGAGCGGGCCGTTGGACGGCAATATTGTGCCACCCTAAATGATGACGATGGTGTCATTATGCGACCCGACTTCCCGCAGCACTGGGGCGACTCCCGCTTGGACATTGTGCAAACCATGTTGAACACTGCCGCACCTATTGTCTTGCCAAGTCAAGTGGATGGGGCCGATGTCATTTATAACACTTTAAAAATGCTTTCGAGACGCGCCACCGCCCTTCCTGTGGGGCGTGGCATGTTTACACTTTGCACGCAGAATTTTAGGGTGCGCGATAGTGTGCCAATTCCACGCCTAAATCTTGAGGGTCGGACAAGTGACGGAATTACAATAGCAAATAACTCAGAGGAAATCGCTGCGGACAATTTAATATGGCCTTTGTTTCACAATGGGTGTGCGGCGGCGCTGCGCTTCCTTCCATTACCTCAAAGTCATGGGTGTGCAAAGGAGGAACAGTCCATTACGCAGCACTGGGTTTTGTACCAAACACGCAATATTACGTGTCTAGCATCTCGCTCTGGATTAATTCTTGCTGCAGGACTCTTAGGGCATTTAAAAGTGCTTCAGCGAACCGATATATACTCACTCCTTGTCTCACCTCAGTCAGCCTTTTCTGGCCGTGAGGCGGTGACCATTGCCGTGATGCTGGGTCTTAGTTGTAGTCTACGGGGAACGTGCAATAGCATCGTTTTTAATTGTCTCTCGATGCACGTGCAATCCCTCACCCCTGCCACAGAAGATATTGAAGTTTCTCTCGACGTTCAAACTGCCGCGTTGGTTTCCATTGGAATCCTATACCAACAATCCCCGGATGCCTTTTTGGCGGAGATGTTGCTCGTTCAGATGTCTCGCCTTCCCTCGGATGAGCACTTTCGCGACAGAGAGGGATATGCCCTGGGCGCGGGGTTTGGCCTCGGCCTCATGTTTCTCGGTATTGGGAGTGCGCATGGTTTACCAAATGTTGAGAATCGCTTATTACAGTTCATGAATGGAGCACGCCGGGAGGCGGTCCCCTCTGCGTGTGAAGGTTTAGAGGTATTTAACGAACACAACCCTGACAGTGGTCACTTTCTCACCCGCGGGCTACTTATGCGTAACGCCAAGGAATCTTTTAGGACTCATTGTACTCGCGTATTTGAGGGTGACCGTTTCAACACCGCCGTGTCTAGTCCGGCGGCCGTTATGGCACTGGGTTTCATGTACATGCAGGCAGATGATGCCTCCATGGCGGGAAAAGTGTCCCCTCCGAACCGTTTGGTGGGGCTACAAGGTGTATGTCCGGAGATGTGTCTGGTACGCTCAATGATGTCTTCTCTTATCCTCTGGTCGAGCATTGAACCCACACTTGAATGGATTCGACAAAGGGTTCCCTCATGTTTATTGCGTCTTGCAAAACATCCTCAACAAAGTGGTCTTGCCCCCGCTCAAATTTACTACCTTATGATGAATCTAGGGCATTGCCTCGCTGGTGTTGTTCTGGCTCTGGGCATGCGTTACGCGGGCTCCATGGACGCTGATGCAAAGGCGGTCGTCCTTCATGAGTTGAAGGGTTTTATGCGAGGTAATATAGGAACCACAGGGGTGGCGATTAGTGTGCTTCAGCGTTCTACAGGGGCATTTCAACCGTGTATTTCGTCATGCACAGTGGCGTTGGCCCTTATTATGGCTGGGACGGGCGACGCCCGGTGTCTTGAAGTCATGCAGAAACTTTACACGCGCACGAATGTGAAATATGGCGATCATCTTGCACTCTCTATGGCTATTGGGTTGCTATTTCTTGGCGGTGGTCAACTTACGCTCTCACATTCGCTCAGCTCCGTCGCGGCGCTCGTGATGTCCTTCTATCCACTTTGGCCCGACACCACCTCTGATAACAAACTGCACCTGCAGGCACTTCGCCAACTTTATTGCCTGGCAGTGGTGCCACGCGTCATTGAAACAATCGACGTCCTTACAAACCAATCGGTGTCAGTGCCTATTCGAGTTATTGTGCATCGTGGGCGGCTTGGTCAGACTGAACCCTCGAGTGTTGTGAAGGAGCTATGGACTCCGCTGCCAAAGGGAAAGGAAAACCAAGCTGTTCGCATGGTGACCCCGTGCCTGTTGCCTGACCCAAGTACGATCACGCAGATTGAAATTCGCAGCGCCCAGCACCACAGCCTCACCATCCACAACACTGGCCTAAATGTCATTGGCGATGCGGGTCTCGTTGTTCGTATCTTGGAGAAGAATGTTGTCCCGACGGACTCCGAAGCCCCATTGCGAAGTCCCGCTGAGGAAATTGTGGTGCGTTGGATCAAGCGTCTTTTTCACGCAGAGTTGCAGCAGCGTCCACGTCCCATAGAAGCCATCGTTATTCTCGATAATTTTAATTTGTTATTTGCGGCGAAGAAGAGTTTCTTAACAGAGTTTGGTCCTTGCGAAAACGTTTTTTCGCCGGATTTTGTTATGAGCGTGCGGCGCACACTTGTGAAACGCTACGGAGGTCTCCTGCAGCACTGCGGGGTGATGTCAGCCTGTCATCCCCTCGTTCAGGTTATCATGATGAAGAAATCGCTGTACAGCACAGCCGTATCACTAGTGCAGACCCTCAAAGATGGTGCGGAACGCTCCTGTGATCTTGCTCCTGTTTTGGAGTCCTTGCAGGCGTACGTCACCGGCAGCGGAGCTGCAGCAGAAGAGGGAGAGGCGCGTGGTGGTCTCCTCGTTTCTGCTGTCATGAAATGGCTCTCTCAGGCATTACATTTCTATGGCCTTGTGGGTAGCATGGAGTTGCTGCCGCAAGTATTGGAAGAACACACGCCATTTCTGCAGCGGCGAGAGCGGCGCTTGCTTGCGTTGTACGTTATGAATCAAAGGCTTCTGCTTGAACCCCAATTGCTTGAGGACCTCGTCGAATGCTTTGTGGAGTACGTGGATTAAAGCTAAAGTGAAGCGGCATGATTATTTCTTTTACTTGTTTTGTTTTCTTCTGCTGATCGGCGCCTTTTGGCTGGAGGCCACTTCTAATGAATCCCGTGGCAGGCTCCTCTTCAATTTTGTGAAACGGGGTGACAGAAAGAAAGAGCTGGTGGGGTAAAGCCTCATCTGGGCCGTTGTTGCGTGAACCTGGGGAAGCTGTTGAGGCGGAATCCCTCTGCAGAAAAATGGCTACTTCGTCTGTGCGTGTTTTTTTTGCTGTTGTTTTTGTTTTCCTTGGGGTGGGGGAACGGCGAAAGCCCTGCCGCTGCTGTGGACGGTGTTCATTTGCTCTCTCTCTCTTACTTTCCTTCCGTGTTTCGGGAAAGGAAAAAAGGAAGGTGAGCGAAGCCACAGCGCCCCCCCTCTCAAGTGATGGATGATGAAAAACTTGTCATGTTTGACGCCAGTGGCGCCATTCGCATGTATGACCCCGAGAAGTTCGACCAACTGCTGAAGGCGATTGAGGTGGAAAAGCGCTTCACAGGCCGCATGGATGACTTCAGGAATGTGGTGAACCAAACCATGTCGATTGTGGAGCAGCTGGGGAGGGCCATAGAGCAGGAAAAGCTCAGGGCCATTGGCTCCCGCAACATTGTAGAGAGCGAGGCGGAGGAGCGCTTTCGCACGGTGCAGGAAGCGCAGGTGCGCCTGCGCGAGAAGCAGACGGAGCTGGACCGCTACATCGCCGAGTACGACTCACTCCGCAAGGTGGAGCAGGAGCAGGAGCTCATCATTCAACGCCTCAGCCAGTCCACGCGGGATTGAGGCAAGAATCCAACATATATATATATATATACTGGTGTATGGGGTCAACAGGGTTAGATGAGGTGACTGAAGAAGAGAGTGAAGGAGAGATGTGTGGCTTCCCTCCCTCCCATTATTGTTATTATCATCATCATCATAACGCTTCCCGCTTGTATGTCGGTTAGTTGGCTCCACGCGGCGATTCAAGTTGTGTTGATTTTCTTGCATATGAAACGCTCTTCTTTTTTTGTGATACTTGTCTATTTTTTTGTCATACCACCTTGCCTCTTCGGATGACGGCAGGACAGAGAAACAAGAGGAGGTGCTTGCACCTCGCACTCACAATACAGGGAGGAAAAGCAGCATACAACTCTCAGCCAAAGAAATCCAGAAGGACGGAAGGGGCCAAGTGTCGGATGCCGCGTCTTGCCTTGTAGGCGCCGGTCGACACACACTCGCACACGTGTCTGCCAACCTCCTCTCTACCAGCGGCAATTACCTCGTGGGATTCAAATTACTTTGCCTATGCAGCAGTGAAGAAAAGTGATGCTACGGAGTTCCCTCAGAAGAGCCGCTTGCGAACTGGAGTTTGAGTGATTGAGAGGGCGGCTTCTCTTTTGTTTTTGTTTTACCCCCCCCCCTGAAGAGAAAGTCCACTAACACGAAGGAAGCGCAACTGCATGGGGATGAGGTGTCGGGGAACAAGTGAGTAACAGACGCGGCGGGGTGGAATGAATGTGAGAGTGTCAGATTAAACAGACATTTTTTTTTGACTGCATGATGTAATTCTCCGTTTTTCTGCCTGAACAAATATTTGATAACAAGGTTAGATGCAGCAAAGCCGAACAATTATTATTATTATTTTTTTTTTGGTCGGGGAGGGGGGAAAATGTATGGCCGGATTTTTACAACACACCATCGGCAACAGTCACTTGTTGTATTATGTTTCTTGACGTGCGTAACGGAGCTGCGAGGGGAATTGGCAGCCTCTCTCAAGCCGGCACACTCTCACACAGTATATATTTATGCATTTTGCAAGTCTGTAAGTGGCCTGTGTATGTATGCATGTGTGTGTGTTTGTAAATTTTATTTGCACCTGTGTCTGCAAAACCTATTCTATGACACCTACACTCTACTTGTGCGCCTATTTCTTTCACATATGGACGGCACAAGATCGAAGAAAAACGTGGCCTTGATATTCATTCTTGGAGGCCTTCTTTAACTGGCGTGTGTGATGCGGCGCAATTCAGCTGAGACATGGGTGAATGACGTCACCATCGGCAGCCTCATACGGATGGGCGCCATCGTGCGCCTGATCCTTATCATCTACGCGCACTTTCACGACAGCTGGTTTCGCGTCAAGTACACAGACATTGACTACATGATTATCGTGGATGGGGCGCGGGACATGTGGCTGGGAGGGTCACCCTTTGATCGAACAACATTTCGCTATACGCCACTTCTTGCCGCACTCATGCTGCCCAGCGTGCTAGTGGCAAACCCGCTTGGAAAGCTGCTCTTCGCCTTGTGCGACGTGGGTGCCGCCTACTACTCCTATTTAGTTCTCGTAACCTTCGCCACGGAGCGGAGCGCGAAGTGGATGGTGTCTTTGTTCATTCTATTTAATCCTATTGTGCTGAACGTATCAACTCGTGGAAATAGCGATATGCTGGTGACCTTCCTGAGTCTCCTCGTGTTGGCGAAGTTTACGCAGTCCAAGTACTTTCAGGCCGCTTCCATTCTTGGGCTTGCTGTTCATTTTAAGTTGTACCCTGTGATCTACGCCCTTCCGCTGATACTTGGCGTGTGGGAGCGAACAGACGCTGACACCATTCTTCATAAACTAAAACGCGTTGTCCCCGTGGTAACGCTCTGCGGACTTCTCGTGGTGCTTTTCTTTGCTATTCCCACGGTACTGTGTTACCAGTGGTTTGGTCAGCAATACCTAGATGAGGCGTTTCTGTACCACGTGCATCGTGAGGATCACCGTCACAATTTTTCTCCGTATTGGTTACTCATGTATCTCAATATGGCGAGCCGACATCTTGGTGTGGGAGCTGACTATTCTCCAGGACTTTTTGCGTTTTTGCCTCAAGCCCTTGTGTTGTCCTTTGTTTCTTACAAGCTGCGGCGCAACGTTGCCCATGCGTGTTGCGTCCAAACAATGCTTTTCGTTGCCTTTAATAAGGTGTGCACCGTGCAGTACTTTGTGTGGTTCCTCCCCTTTGTGGCGTTTCTCTTTGCTGAGCCTCGTGAAGGAAATGAGAAGCTGCCGGGGTTGCTTGAGACGGTGGCCGTCGTCTCGGCCTGGGGCGTGACGATTCCGGTGTGGATGTTGACAGCCGTTCAGTTGGAGTTTCACGGCCGGAGTGACTTTGGGAGGTTGTGGCTCGCCTCGTGTGTGTTTTTTCTGGCGATGGTCGCTCTTTCCGCATGGTTCGCCCGCATCGCCTACCGAGTTCAGGAGGCCGCGGCGCAACAGAAGCAAAGGGAGAAGAAAAAGGCGGTCAAACTTGCGTAACACCACTGAGAAGAGCCGGAAGGGAGACATAGAACGCTAGAAGAGAAGGAAAACCAAAATTTGCAAACGTGTATGTGTTTGTGTTTGTGTTTGTGTTTGTGTGTGTGGGGGGGACGTTGTATAGAAATAGAATGGGTAATCGCTGTCTGACCGTTGCATGCCGGAGGACCGCGGGAGAGGCGCAGCAGATGAGGGCATTGAAGAATGCTTGGATACATGGGGAAGCAACTGCTGCGTGTGGGACGGTGCTGCGGTAGGTAGAGCAGGAGGAGTTTGGAATGGGGACATGAAAGGGTAAGCAACGCAGAAGGGTGCAGCACCACTTTTTTTATATATATAGACATATTATTTGGTGTTCATGTTCTGCTTGGTGTTCTTGGGGTCATGCAGCTGCATCCGCACTTGAGCACGTGGTTCCCTGGTTTCTCCCTCTTTATTCTGCTTGTTTTACATTGTATTTTTTTTTGTCACTCTAAAGCAGAGGGAGTAAAAGCAGGCAAACACAGGGGCACGCACACAACTCCTCCTTTATTTTTCCGGCCGACTTCTGCTCGTTTTGAAATGGGACCTCAACACAATGCCATGGAGAAGAACCAGAACACCGATGCCGCATGCTGCAGTGGTGTTGGAGGGCTCTTCGTGCATCAGCGCCTGTTTTGCGTTGGCCTCGCATTCTTTTTCTTTTCTGTGTCCTTTGTAATCGCGTGGTCGATGCTTAAGAGGTACTACCGCCGGTTTGTATGCATTTCTGTACAGCTTCAGTGTGATGTATCTTCTCGCGTAATCTCCGCCCTCCATACGATCATTGTAGTCCCATGCTTAATTGGCGGAGTTGCCGCAATGAAGTGGGGAGACCACTTTGAGCCGCTCGGCGATGTTTCTTTTCTGCAGGGACTGCTTTGCATCAGTCTGGGGTACTTTTTGTACGACACAATACTACTACTGTTATACCGACAACCAAACTGGTTTGGTTTCATCGTCCACCATGTGGTGTCAAGTATTCCGTATGTGATTTACCTGTTTGCTGGGTCATGCCCATATGGGCTCTTTATTCTTGCCTGCTTCATGCTGGTGGAGGCGACGAATATATCCCTTCACGTACGAAGCACGTTGGAGGAAAACGGCATGTCCACCACCAAGCTCTACGCAGTTGCCCTCTACAGTACCTGCATTTTATGGATTGTGTTTCGTCTCATTAACCCAACATCCCTTCTGATAATCACGCATAAGTACATTATCCCAAGCCTTCCACCTGGGCGAGCATCGTGTCTGCTTCCTAGTGTGCTTTGTGCCTATGTCGTCAACTTTTTTTGCTATGCTGTCTTTATTATGTTATGCAAGGAGGTGCTGATACACCGACGAAGACTGCCCCGTGCGGGATGCGTGATCCCCGTAGACTCAGTAGAAGTGAGGGAACAAGGCCTCTCAAGTACGACGGCGTATGATCATGACGCAATGGACTTAAAGCAATTGCATCACTTTATGTGTGGGGAAGCTGAGGCCGCCGTGGAGCATCTGCCAACCTTGTACGAGGTGAATATAAATGGTAAAGCAACAACGGGGCCCAGGAAGGCCCATTTTGAAGGGGCGCCTCCTACATAATCCCTCTGTAAAAAAAAAAAAGTTAGTAACTGAATGGGGTATGCGGAAGTGCGCCACAATAACAGCAACAACTTTTTTTTTTCGTGTGTGTCTGTGTGTGTGCAGATGTGTATTTTGATCTGCGAATTCCTACAAGCAAAACAAAGATGTAGCTGTTCGTTTTACTTTTGCTTATTTCTCAGTTTGGTGTAGAGGGGAATGGGGGGGGGGTGCACTGCTTCTGTTGTGCCCCTCCATCCACCTCACTCATTGCGTTTTTTGTTCTTTTGTATTATTATGGTTTTGCTCGACGTGTTTTCCCCCTTTTTGTTCCCCTGTTGTTTGACTGCTCCCTTCCCTCACTTCAACTTGCTTTCTGGCGCCACCACCACCGCCACCGCCGCCACTGATCCACAACCCCGCTTTCTTGATTCACGTGGCTATGCGCAAGATACGTGGAGAGAAAGAGACAGACGCACACACACACAGGCATATATATATATATATAGTGGGAGTGTGTGTGTGTGTGTAGCGGAAGAGGGAGGGGGAGGTGTTACTCACGCAGGGGGAGATATCGCTGCACGTTATTAGAATGACCAGCTACTTCGCCGGCCTCTCCTTGCGGGAGATTTACGAAAAGAAGTGCGTGGAACTGCACTGCCGCAAGAACTCCGCCATCTGCCATGTTTTATCCGACGTTCCAGACGAGTATAAAAGCTTGATCCTGATTGATCTTTCCAAGAACTTTTTAGGCCCAAAGGGGATCCTGCCGCTCCTGGAGATTGTCCGCTGCTGCAGGAACATCCGTACCCTTGACCTCCGTGAGCAACAGCTAGACAATGAGGCCACGGATGCTCTCTGTCTCGCTTTGCGGCAACACCCATCCATTGTGCGAATAAACCTCTCAGACAACCCGCTAACAATGAATGCAGGAGCATCGCTGCTACAGCTTGTTAGGGATAACCCGGTGATTGAGTTTATGATGCTTGATGGAACTGGTATCAGGAACTCCATTATTCAGGCAATTCAATCCCAACTGGAGCAAAATCGAAAACTAAAGGAGATGGTCGCTGAACTGGACCTGTTGGTCTCACCGGGTAGCAGAGATGCAAATAATTCTTCACCCGGGGAGGATCATGGTATAGGGCGCGTCTCACCTGTTCAAGTGATTCGTGCAGCAGCGGAAGCGGTCAAAGACGGTTCAAATGCAATCTCGCTGGAAATGGCAATCTCAGCAGCCATGTACGAAGATAATTCTGACCGAAAGCGATTAAAGGCCCATGATGTAGAAGCCGCACTGTTGTCCTTTTCACGCAAGGTTCATGAATTTCTTTATGATGATAATCCTATTCCCGTCATAGCTCAGCTTTGTGAGCAGCAATATGCTTGGTTTTACGACCAACAGTTCGCCGCAGATGATGTAGCTGTTCAGCATCGTGCCACGACGCAGTATTCTATCGCTGGATGGCGTCGTGTGGGAGACATTTATCCCTCCGCAAGGCTGTTTCCTGGTATAGATGAGGAAAAGCGTCTGGTGTTACCAAGACACTCCCCGCTCTCTTTTTCATGGATTTTTGTGTGCGTGGATGCTGCCTTTAACGATCTGGAGAGCCTCCAAAGCACCGTGTTGGGTTCTCATTCTCTGGGGCACGGCGTGTATGGGTTGCGAGTTCATATTGATGGGGCATGGCGATACGTTGTTGTCGATGATCTTCTTCCTGTAAATAGCAAGGATGAGCTCATCTTTACTCACCCAGTGAACGGGAAGTACTTCTGGCCATGCATCCTCGAGAAGGCCCTTGCGAAGTTACATGGCGGGTACTCGGCCCTTGATCTTGCTTCCTTTGATGGCGCCCGTTCGAAATTAATGTGTAGGCCGGAAAGAAACAACCGGTTCTCGATAAACTCTCGGGCAAGCACTGTGTTGTCCTTGGAAGGGATGAACAATCCTATTAGTCAGAGCACCAATGAACGGCAAACAAGCTTTGCTAAAACCCTCAGTGACTTGAGTGGTGGAGTGGGTATTGCACGCTTCCTAAAACATGAGCGTTTTCAAGCGGATGAGTGGTGGCTGACAATGTTGGAGTTATACGGCGCCGGGGCTTTGATGGTGGCTCTGAGTGGACCAGCAAATAGGACACTTTCCGGCATAGAGCCATCGCATCTCTATCGTATTTTACAGGTATGGCAAATGAATGGAACAAGGCTTATTGAGCTTTCCAGTTTTTGGGCAACAACGCAATGGAAAGGAGATTGGTCGGAGGAATCGGCGCAGTGGCACCGTTACCGAGATGTAGATGCCGCCCTCCGAGGTCAACGCTCGGCTACAAGGTCCTTTTCTTTCTGGATCTCGTACACGGACTTTATAGCCGCATTTACACAGGTTCACTTTTGCCACCTTTTTCAGGGCTTCCATCAGCGTGTTATAAATGATGAATGGGATAGAAACAGCGCAGGTGGGTCATGCTATGGAAATCATTGGCACCTCAATCCTCACTATCGTCTAAAGATAACTCAGGAATCTCCTTTTTTTATTAATCTTGCTGTACCTGACATACGGTTTACAACAACAGATATTGATTCTCTTGCCCTCCATATTGTTCAGCATAAGCAGTATCCTGTTCGATATGGACATGACAGCGAAAATATTGTTGTGGCAACAAAATATGTCTTGACGGATTCATTATCGTTTGAAGGCATTATTAAGGGAGGAGATGACTATTGGGTAATACCAAGTTCTCATACAGGTGGAGTTATGGGTAAGTTTCTCCTGCGTATATTCAGTCAGTCTGGATTTATTATTTGGAAGGAAGATTCTTCGTACCATTGGAATACGCTTACCTATAGCAACACAATAGAGAACAGTGGGGAATATCGCACAGGGGAAGATAACGAACAGGTTGTGCTTAGTTTTACCTCCAACACCAACGTTGGAAATTTGGGGTCTAAAACAGGGTCACTTGTTGTAAAGGCACGGGCGCCTGATAGTGAGGAAATCGCCTTGGGCATGTTTCTTGTGAAAACGACTTTGGTGGAGGATAAGCCTTCAAGATCTGTCGGAGTATTACCTGAGGAGTCGATTGTGGCGGCAAGTCCCTTCATTGTGGATGACGCTGTCTATTTGGAGGCGGATGTAGCTCCTGGAGAACGATACACACTTGTAACATGCGCTCACCCAGCGGGATCTCGGGCAAGGCTGGAATTTACTATGTGGAGTTCGCTCCCGTCACCGCAACTTATACCGTTGCCTGTATGGTCAAAGAAAACTGTAACCGTGTCGTGGCCATATGGAAGTGGCTCGTACTATGAAGTGACGCGAAATCCCCAAGTTGAAATTTACCCTGCGAGGATGCTTGATACTTTTGTAATACGAATGCAGGTCGTCGACTGCAGTTACAAGGATCCTGCGATTGTCTTCTTCGTCTTGGCTAATGATGGCCGTCAGGGTGAGGGCATCAAAGGACAAATACCTGCCGATCGGGTGGTGGTGCGTTCACAGTATGTGCGACACCATGTTGTTCAGTGTGAGCTTCTAATAACAGAGCCGATGGACTCTCTGTTAGTTCTACCGTGCCTCCAACCGGCTGGTTCTTTCGGGGAGTGCAGAATTAGCGTCGCAACAGAAAGTGGTGACTTCATGATTCGCGTACTCTCCACGGACTGATATGTATCTTTTTATTTTTGTAAATGCAGGGCAGACGCTGTTCCTGGCTGGAACGGCGCATACGCACACACATTTCGATGTTTGTCGCCAATCTGAAGCAGGCAATAAAAAGAATGAAGAAGAAGAAGAATTAGGATGTGGAATGGGCCATGATTTCCGCTATGCAATGAAATACTCCCTAAATGTAAAATATATTTAGAAAAAGCTTTGACTCCCGTTTCTTTTCTTTTCTTTTTTTTCTAGATGCGATCGAATGTTGTGCGGGAACAGCAAGACTGTCCTTGTGGGCCTCACTGGCGGTATGATGGTATGGGTTGATATCAATCCATGGGCTATAAGCAATTTTCCTTCTACTGCCTGATCTACAATTCCCTGTTTTTCTTCCATTTTGCTTTTCTTATGTCTGTGTGTGTGTGTGTGTGCTTTCATTTGGCCTTTACGAATCACACGCTAGGCCGGTTTAAAAAAAACAAAGGACGAAGGAAAAGAAAGAAAGAACGAAAAAAAAAGTAATAATAATACGTGACATGAAATGGAGCAGTCGCAGCCTCCTGCGAAATTGCCTGCCCCTACTGAACAGAGCCTTTTCGCCAATGAGGTTCAGGGTGTTGTTAGTGGTGGAAATTCCGCCGTACAGTTTGTGTCCACTAATCTGTGGATGCGTCGATTATCTTCAGTGCTTGTTCTTATTGTTTTTGTCTTTTTTATCGCCAGCTCTTCGAGGACGTTGTGGACCGATGTATTTGTTTACCACCCGATATTGATGTCCATTGCCTTTTTTGTCATTGTTCCGGAGTTGCTCTGCTCCATTGCTGCCCTCCAGGGCTACCTGCGGGAATTGCGACCGAGACATGATGTGCTGCTGTTTCATCGCCGTTGTGCACTTGCCTTAAAAGTTGTCAGCGCGGTTGGGATCGTTGCGACGGAGTGGAGTAAATTTCAACGATCCAAAATGCACTTTGTGACCTGGCACGCTCGCATTGGTGGTGTGTGTGAGCTTTCACAGGTGATGGAGGTTTTGATTGGTCTCATCATATACTACGGCATTCTGGATCACCGCCTTACCATCTCGCAACGTGCAAGACTTCGCCTAGCTCACCGTTGCCTTGGTGTCACAGTGGTTGTGACAGGTGCGATCTCCATGGCACTTGGTATGCTCTCGCACTTTGCTCTGAGGGCCTTTGGGATGTTATTTCTTCGGCTGGTGTTCGCCGTTTTACCAAGTACTTTTGCCATTTGGGGCTATTTTGGATCCTACTAGTTCTCTGACGGGAACAAAGTACTTGTTTTTTTTTCTGCTTGCTCTTTATATATACATATATCTCTATCCAGTTGTACTAATTTAACTGGGGTGGCGCAGTCGCGAATCTCACGGCTTTGTCACTGCTTTCAACGTTGCCCTTCTTCTTTGCTTAGGCGGCGAAATTGTGCATTCTGCCATCGATGGGGATTCATGTAGACGTCACCGCCTGCAGAGCTTGCGGCCATCGGGGTTTTTTTTCCTAAAGGGTCATTTTATATATATATACATATTTTCATTTTCTTTTTTTTTGTCTCTCTCTCTTTTTGTTTCTTCAGAAGATGGGCAAGCTTGGTGCTGGTCTGGATTTAAACGAGAAGCACAAGCCGGTGGGGTCCCTTTTTCTCGAGGCGATGGATCGCGACTCCATTCCCCCACGTGTTAGGCGGAGTGTCTACCGCCGGTTGGCCGATCGAAGCCTTCCCAATACCCCCTTTTCCTTCTACCCCGACGAGCCCGGACGCACGCGCGCATTCTCCGCGAGCGGACGGCGTCACTTCCCCGTTCGGAGCTGCGACAATCCTGTTGCGCCGGACCCACCGGAAGTCTCCTCAGCGCGGCGGGCGGTTCCTAGACAAGAGACTTCGCATCTCGACTCTGCGGCGCAGGCCATAAACGAGATAGAGCCAGTTCATTACTCACGACAGCGGTGTAGGCAGCCTCCGTTTAACAAGAGCCCCGTCAGAGTGCCGCATCCGCGTGCCTTGGTAACTTCAAGTCCACTTAGGCGGAGTCACCTCTCACTTGGTTCACTGGCACCGATAGAAGAACCGCGGAAGGAGCGTCCGGTGCCACCACCTTTGATAAAGAAGCCGTTACGCTTCGGTAGGCGCCACACGCCTGAGCCACGTTCTGTGAGCGCAGAACATAGACGAGTTGGTATTAAAATGGTGCCTCCTCCTTCTCACTGGGAAAGTGCGACAGAAAGGCGTATGGCTTTTACCAACCTTGGCGTTGGTGCCTACAAGGTGAATGGCATTCAGCATAGAAACCAAAGTAATTGGGAAATCGGCTTCAGTTCCCCGCTCCGGCTACATAGGTGTATGTCGACTGAAAGTAGGGGGAATGACAGTGCGACCGCGCCAAACGACGAGGTTCCATGGAGAGGAAGAAGATACAGTTCGTCGCCAAGACGACGTACTGCTGACATTATCTCGTGGATGCCGTTGAAGTACTGCTAGATAGAGCTGGCAAAGAAGGAGAGTGAAGTAGAGAGAGGTGCGAGGGGTTATGGGGGAACGAACGGGGGGGGGGGTGATTTTCTTTTCTGGTTTGATGCATCATCCTTGCGGGGGTCCTTCTGCTTGGGTGTCGTTTCTTCTTATCGTGCAGACGAGTTAAAAAAATAAGAAGGAAAGAGCAACACAACGGATAAAGAAGGGGGAAAAAAAAATCAGAACAGGGTGGAAGCTAGCTGTGCCCCAACTACACGGCCCTCCCTCTTTCTTCTTCTTTGCCCAATTTTTGTTTTTATTTTTCAATGGCATATGTCCTAGTTTCGCCATTTGCTGCGCATGTTTGGTTCTTTATATATATATATATATATAATCCTTCTCCCCGCTTTACTCTTTTCTCTTGCCCTCGCGCCTTCCATTGGCGTGACTCTCTACTCACGACCTTAAAAGTTGGTTTGGCTTTCTTTAGAAGTGCACGTGTGAAGTAACCGCACTTGGGCGAGTATGGTGTTTTATTTTACCCTCGCCTCCGACCCTACGCTCTTTTGCTACATGGGCCGTGATAAGCACGAGAATGAGTTGCTTATCAAGTATGGGTGGCCAGAGGACATCTGGTTTCACGTCGACAACCACAGCAGTGCGCATGTATACTTGCGCATGCCAAAAGGTAAGGGGATCGACGATTTAACGCCGGAGGTGATCGAGGAGTGCTGCCAGCTCACCAAAGCCAACAGTATTGAGGGATGCAAGCTAAATCACGTTCGTGTGGTGTACACACCGTGGAGCAACCTGTTGAAGACAAATGGGATGGAGATTGGGCAAGTGGGATTCCAGGTGGAATCCCTGCGTCGCTACTACACAGTCGAAAAGAAAAATAACGCTATGCTTAACAAGTTAGAGAAAACGAAAATCACAAAAGAAGACGTAGATTTTCAGGCGTTGCGGGCGGAACGGGATGCAGAGGAACGACGGGCAGAACGGAAGGCTCTGTTGGAAAAGCAACAGCTGGAAAAGCAAGAGATGGAGGCGAGGAAAAAGGCAGCAGAACTCAAGTCCTATGCCTCTCTCATGGACGAAACGAAGATGCGTAATAATCAAGACGAGGTCCCAGATGAAGATGACTTCATGTAGCGGACCTTTTTTTGGTTAAAAATACATTTAAAAAGCGCATTCACTCCTTCGGCGTGCGTGTGTGTGGGCGTGTATGTGTGTATGCCGATTATAACTCTGATACCGGCCACGTGTATGCAACTTTGGGATGGGGAGGAGTATATGAGTTAAGATTAACAGTGAAGGGTTATTGTTTTTCATCTTGAAGTTTTCATCAAACAATATTTTTCTGTGTGCTTACGTAGTTTGCCTTTTTTTTGTTGTTCTTCACCCCCGCCTCCTTCCTCCATGCTTATGTATGTGGGTGCATGTAGCCGTCATCCTCTACAGGAAGCCGGGTGGTGAAGAAGTGGCGTAGGAGTAAAGTGCGGGCATGCTGCTAAGATGGGGCCTGTCTATTATGTGGCCAAGTAACAGCGGCCTTCTTCAGCTCACTGCTATGAGGCATTCGCAGTGTACTATACGATGTAGAGCTGTTCCGTTTGGCGCGTTGGCATTGCGCCATATTGATGAGGGGGCCCCAGAGGCACCATCACGGCGTGAGCCGCCAATCTCTATGCCGTTGGCATACATCCAAGAATGCATTACAGAGGTACAACAATATCGGACTGAGGACGCGATGTGGTCAAAGGAAACTTTGCGTGAGGCGTGGAAAACGTTCCACCACACACTACAGACGGCCATGGAACGAGAGGAAGCTGTAAAGACGCAGGAGATGATCGACAAAGATCTAGTTGGTTTGGCCTTATGCACTTCGTACGCTGAGGTGAAGCATCTCTTATCCATACTCTCGCCTTCTCTGCGTGATGCCGTTACCTCTCATCCGTCGTTTTGCCATGCCGAAGTGGAGGAATTTTTTATGCATCTTGGCCAGGAGATGGAGGTGCGAGGCGCCGACTGGGTAGCTCAATTACCACCCCCATCTGCGAGCGAGCTTCATTTTTCCATCGAGAAAATAGGTCGCTTTGGTGATGATGGAAGGGGTTGTATTCGGAACACGCCGCATCGTGTTTCCGTCTGGCGTGGCCGTCTTGGTGAGCCGCTTGGTCTCACCATTCGAGTAGGCCGATACGTGCCGAACGTCGCTCGAGCCCTGATTCCGCTAGCTCACAAGGGAAGTGTCCTGATCCTGTCCAAGGCGGGTATTGGCAAAACAACTCTGTTGCGCGATCTTGCTGCGTCGCTGTCTCGAGAACCATCGAAGCCGCGCGTCGTTGTCATCGACACCTCCAACGAAATCGGGGGAGATTGTCCGATACCACTTCCATTTTTGGGTCGCTGCCGACGGATTCAAGTTCCCCGTCGCGAGGACCAGGGACAAATCATGGCACATGTTCTACAGAACCACTCCCCTGAGTATGTCATTGTGGATGAAATTGCCACAGCTTCCGAGGCGGAAGCGGCGTGGTCAATGACGCAGCGAGGCGTCCACCTTGTTGCGACATGTCATGGAGAAAGCCTTGAAGGATTATTGCAAAATCAATCTCTTAACCTCCTTGTCGGTGGCGCGGCTCAGGCGTTTCTCAGTAATGAAGAGCGAAGGCTACGAAACAAATCTAAAAAAACAATTCTTGAAAGGCCATATTCGTCACCGTTTCGTTTTGTTGTTGAGCTGAATACTAAAAATAAAGCACACGTTTACACCGATGTCAATGCTGCAGTCGACCTTCTTTTGGATGACCAAGATGCGAGGCACAACGCTTCAGTGGGGCAGGCAGTTACATTGGACCGGCAACCGTCGGATCAACTGCTGGGTACGGTGAGGGCCAGCGAGAAGATATCGCGATTGGAGACAAAATGTCATTTAGGAGGCCGTGGAAGGTTGGAGACTGATAGCGATGACGGGGGTGGTCTTTGCGACACGAACGTTTCTTGTAACGGGCGAAGGTTCCGAAAACCGTGGGCAGGCGAACGCACAAGAAAATATTCCGGTGTTCGGAAACGAACGGATGAGGAACTCTTGGAGGATCTGCAGGAGTTTCTCTGATGGACCTTTTATGGTGGCATCCGATGGCTTGTACATCACATAAGCTTGGAAGCTGGGGCATCTGTGCCCGTGTCGAAAGGGCAAACTGGTGCAATTGTCATTGCGGTTACTTGTTACTCTGCGTGTTTTGCATCTTTTGAGGAAGTAGCAATTTCCCATTGGAGGGCCCTGGGGAGTCAAAAAGTGTGCGGCCTCTTTGGGTATCTCTCTCTCTCTCTCTTCCTTTTTGTTTTGCTTTTCTTTTTTAATATTTCTTTCCTACTATCCCTTCTCTCCCTCTCCCTTCTTCTTTGGATTCGCGGATGAGAAGTCGAGTTAGCAGGGATATTGGGGTCCAGCTATGGCGCCGCTTCGGTTGGCTCTGCGGCTGGTCGGCAGCCGCCGTGCTTTGAGTGTCCAAACCTTTCCACGATGCAAAAATAGATCATCTGCGACGTTCTCGTCCGATGCCGGCCTTTGCCGTCAAACAGCGCAGGCGTTGTTTTCCTTGGAGCGTTTTCACCGGCAGAGTAGCTCGGCGGATGAGCGGCGACAGGTGGAGCGCCAGGCCTGGCGTGAACTGCAGAAACTCCCAGACGCTGTGGCGAATAGCGCATCCATTCATGACGTCACAGACATTGTTGGCGCCTGGTGCTATTTTTCGCGATTCTGGGAGTTGGGGATGCAGGGACCAGAGGAAACATCCGGTGAGGAACAAAGTGACGGTGTCTTGGCGGGAAAGAAGGACATCGACGTTCCATTGCTTGAGCGCCGGACGCCGCTGACACATCCCCCCACGGCCGACCAGGCACCACCACCACGCACCAATCCGCTGGATGAGGTGATTGAGTTTTGAGTGGGAGATGGAACTGCCAAACGGCGAGCAACGTAAGGAAGCTGGATATATATATTTTACGCAGTGCTTAATTCCCTCATGTTGAGGGTGGGGGCAGAATGTTTATTTATTTTACTATTGTTTTGAAGCAGCAGTTAACAATGGCGTCAATGGTTACTGCTGGTGGCACCCCGCTGCGTTACTCGGGGTCTGCGAAGTTCAGTGCCCCAATGTTTTCCATTGGGGGCGAAACACGCCACGAACGCCTGTCGGCTGGCAACGGCGGCGGCTGAACTTGTCTCGGCGCGGTTTCATTGTCGCCACCAGCAAGAGAGGGGGGTGCACGCAATGACGGCAGAGGAATTGCGTCAACGTTGGCATCTCTGTGTACACTCTTGGGCTCACACTGGGGTTGCCTGGGCAATCGCAGCGGCACAAGGTGTGAACATTTTACTTGTGTTGCCGTTTTTTTTTCTTGGTTCTGCTCTTGCCCCTCCGTGGGTGTCAGGGTTGCGAAAGGGAAAAAGGAGGGCTGCTGCTGAAGAAGCGCCGCGATACCACGGGGCATGTTGGCCCCCAATCCCCCCTCGAGCGCGCCCGAGGGCTCATCAATGGCATGCTGTTCTTTTATTGTACCTTCTTCTTTTCTTGTTGAGGGTCTGCGTGCACACCTGGCCGGCGCGGCAGAGTGGCGGAAGCATGGGCGAGCGCGAGCACCTCAACCCACAGCTTTGCGCAGCACCCAACGCACGATGCAAGTCACGCCCAGGGACTGTTTGGCCGTGTCCAACGGCAGTGCCCCCGCAAAAAACGGACGTGCGATGACCGTGAAGAGGACGCGCCGGGGCCGATTCCAAAGATTACACGGCGCGAATTGTGCACAGAGTGCCCGCACCGTCCCTCAACCCTTCGTCGCCGGGCGCCCACGTTGGCAGATTTCGCGACAAGGGCAGGGCATGGCACGCAAAACTACGCCGTGGTTCAGAAACAGCTTGTGTGCGAGGAGACTCCGGAGCACTTGCTTCCCCGCGCAGCCGGACCGATCCAAATTTGGCCCGGAGGAACTGGGGGCGCCCGAGCTTATTTTGGCGAACCACCGGCCCGGCTCCGTCTGTGGTCTGCTCGGCCTCCCAAGCCCTGAACCGTTTCCCGTCCGTGGCGCCAATACGTGTGTGCATGGCGTCGCTCGTCCGTTGGGTGGAGGGAGCGTCCCTGTATTTTGCTGTTTTACCTCCTTTTTTTTCTAGTTTTGTACTCTTTTGTTTCGGCTTCACACTCGCGCCCGCCAGCAGGGGTGTGCGCCTTCACCGGTGCGCGTCGCAACTTCTTCTCTTGCACCGCTCTTCGGGGGGAGGAGGAAACGGAATCCGGCAAGAGGGCTGGGGCCCAACTTCCGCTGCACTCGCACGCAGGGAAAGTTGCCTGCGCCGCAATCCCCTTTGGAGGGCGTTGGGGCTCCGCACGCGCAGCGGAGGAACAGTAACATGGGGGGAAAAATAATATTAAAAAAAGGAAGAGGCACAAGCGCCGGCCGCAGCGCCCCCAGCGGGGCGGCACGCAGCGAACGGCGACACGCAATGAAGGGCCGCGGCGAACGCGCACCCGCAGCCCCAAGAAACACAAGCACACAACTGTCCCCGACGTGGCCGCTTAGCACAGTGGCAGTGCACCACTCTCGTAAAGTGGGGGTCGCGAGTTCGATTCTCGCAGTGGCCTTCGTTTTCGCCCCATTCCGAGCTCCACGGAGCCGTCCGCCCATTGAGTGTGTAGAGGAGGGCATGCGCCTTCGACTCCGCCCGCAGCATGCATCCCTTGTGTCTCTCCTCCGGATCGGCGTCGACGCCCAATCCGCCCGGCGGCGAAGTGCCAAAGTACATACGCGCGTTGGCGGCATCGAGGGACTCCGCGGCAATGGGGCGGGCCAAAAGCACCTGTGCTCGTGCAACTTACCCGCTATCAGGCGGACGGCTCCGTAGAGCTCGGAGTGCGGTCTGGCTGCACCGCCCGCTTGTTTTAGCGCCAGGCACGCGTACGTGCAGTATGAATTGCAACGGCGGCGGCTCGCTGGCGCGCGGCCGCCGAGCGGAGTGCCAGGACACCGAACTGGGCCCCGCTGAGCTCCTGCTGTGCGTTCTGAAAACGTCCGGCAGGCGAGTGGCGGGCGTATTTACTGCCTCACCGTCCCTTCTCCGGAGCGCATTTGGAACGGGCCCGACCCGAGTCACGGACGGGGTGCTCCGCCGCATTTGGGGCGTCATTGCCGGCCCGCTCCGTCGTGGCGCGTGCGCCTGCGCTTTAACTTTATTTTTTGGGCGCGACGGCGCCCCTCACACACACAACGAGGCGGCTGATGAACTTGCGAAAGCAGCGCTGGAGGAATTTCAGGGCGCACCCGCGCGGATGGCGGACATCCGCACCGCCACCCGCCGCCGCCGCGCACAGAAAACTGAGGAGGGCGCCATTGTCCCCGCAGGACCCGACAGACAGCGCCGGTGCCTCGTCGTGGATGGCGCGAGTCCGCAAACAGCCCCGCCGACGCGTGCAGGGGAGTTGATTCTGGCGCGGTGTTGCGCGGGCGCCTCGCCTCACTTGGGTGGGCCGCGCCGCATCGCCA